TTAGACCACTGAGCCATCTCACCAGCCCCAGGGGTACAATTCTTGTATCCATTGTTCTGTCCCGCAGGCAAAGTACAGAAAGCACATAGTATGTGGAATTAGTGAAAATCCTTTAAAAATAATGACGTTACTTGTTTGCTCTGTGCTTGGCACCACCCTAGTTTCTGTGAATTATCTCATTTAACCCTCCCACTGCTCAGGGAAGGTATGATTATGCCCATTTGAAAGAGGCCCAGATGGGTCAGCAGCGAGTCCAAGGCCAGCAGCCCCATTTGGCATGGCCGGGGCAGGAAGGCAGATGAGAATCTCCTGTTTGTGGTCAAAGGTGTCTCCTGGTAGATACAGAGATGGTCTAGGGAGAGAGCAAGGTGCACTCCAGGCAGCAGGAGGGAGAGGGTTCCTAACCTGCTGCCCCCCTTCCACACTGGAGCTCCTGCCTATGCTATTCGCAGCTGCTGTGGTCAACTTCCATTTGCCTCTTGAGTAGTGGTTCTCAACTGGGGGTGATTTTTGCTCCCCAGGGGACACTGGGCCCTGACTGGAGGCTTCTGGTGGTCTAGATTGGGCAGTGCTACTGACATCTAGTGGTAGAGGCCAGAAATGCTAAGCACCAACCGGGTGAAAAGACCCCCACCCCAAGGATGGGCTCCAGGCCTGATGTCTGTCAGGGTGCTGAGGCTGGGAGACCCAGTTTAGGAAAAGGAGAGGCTGCATGGGGCGCTGGACCAGCGTCCTGTTGGATTTCCCTTTTTCTGAGGCAGACATGTTCCCACTTTCTAGATGAGGAGATTGAGGCTGAGTGGGGTTGGCTCTTCCTTTAGAGCTTGGGCTGGGAAACCCAGGGTTCTGTGTTGTTGGCTCCTCCTCCCTGTCCCTGAGGACTTGTGGACTGGTTTGGCCTCAAAGGGCAATGGAAGAGGGAGAGGAGTCAGGTCAGTCAGGACCCAGGGCTGGGCCCCAGCTGTGCTGTAAGTGCCCCTGGGTAAGCCACAGTCCTCTCTGGAAGGAGGAAAAAAGCCAAGGCCCCTCCTCAGGCTTCTTTTGTAACAGCTGCTGCTGCTGAAATGGCATCCGGTTGGGGGCCTGCCCCTTCGCTCAGCTCTTTAAGTGGCTGCTTCAACAAAGCAGTCAGGTTCAGGTTGCTGTGGTTTGATCCCCACAACTCAAGCCAGCCAAACCTGCCCTGAAGGCATTCGGAGCAAAAAAAAGAAAAAGAAAAAAGAAATGGCATCCGGGAAGCTGGAGTAAGGGGGCCAGAGCCCTAAGGAACAGCAGGCACCTGTGCACCCCTCTGAGCAGAGTAAACACACAGAGGCGGCGCTGAGCCTGGGGTCCCCGAGCAGGATGGATGGTGCCCACAGGTCCACCCTGCCTGCCAAGGTGAGCTCCCAGATTTGGGGCCAGATCCCTTGCAGGCTGGCTAGACTGAGCCCTTCCCAGAACATCCTGGCAGGGTGGGGGAGCCTCCCGCAGGTTTCGGGCTCATGTCTTTCTTCAAAGGGTGACCTGTATGGAGGTAGCCACATCACAGCAGAATTCATCTCAAAGCCAGAGAGACCTGGAGGGTCACAGGGTGGGCAGAGAACGGCTTGCTAAGGAGCATTCTGGTCATGGCATAGGGGGCTCTGGACCCCAGCTCTGCTAGGGAAGCAGGATGGGATGCCCAGACCCACAGATCCTCTGAGCAACCTCTGCTGGGTGTGCAGGAGCCCTCGCTCCTTGGGAAATCAGGCTGCCCCACAGCTACAGGCTTTCACACTTAGCTCTTTTATTTCCCTAATAGTAAAATGGAAGTGAGACAGGGCCCCAGCTTAGCACCATTAGGAGCAGTTCTGTGTCCTGATGTCCCTTCCTGTGCCTGCATCACCTTTTCCCTGCCTCCTCTGGGAGCCCACGAGCCCCCAGTTTCTCAGGTATCACCCTAAATTCGACCTGAACTGGATGACAGTAAACACTCTTTCACACAAAGCAGAGTCAGGGCTACCAGGCTGTGCACTGCTGGTGGCCTGGTGTCACCTGAGCTGGCCTGGTGACCCCTCCAGTCTCAGTGGGTCTTCCCCCGACCCTCAGAGATGATGTGCTCGGGCTGGGCACGCATATACCACTCCACCCAGGAGCCGTCGTAGACAGGTACGTCAGGCTTGCCACACAGGTAGGCCCCCAGCACCACATGGCAGGCCGTGACACCAGAGCCACAGGTGGCCACCAGGGGCCGGGACAGGTCCACCTTCTTCTCCTGGAACAGGCGCCGGATCTCCTCGGGGCTCTTCTCCAGGCCTTCCTCCGTCAGGAATTCCGTGAAGGGGATGTTTGCAGTGCCAGGGATGTGGCCGGGCTCGATGCCTACGGCAGAAAGGCATTGAAGCATGAAGGACACCCCCATGTTGGTGGCACTGCAGTGCCCAGAGCTCCCACAGCAGCAAAACTGCTGTCCACGGTGCATTTTATCCTCACAATCATAAAAGCTGGACCCCAGGGAAGGCCGGTCCCATGTCACTGCTGGTGACACCGAGGGCGGGAGCTACCTGAGACCAGCAGATCTGACAAACCCCAGGCTAGAGTTTGAGCTAAAAATGAAGGTGTCACCAGAGCCCCACGGGGACCCAGGCTTTCTGGCTGTGTGCCCATGGGACAGAGAATATGTGTGACCACTGCCCAGCTACAATTTGTGGTAACTGCAGAAAAGGTGTATGGATCTGGCAGGGCTGACGGCAATAACTGGGTAACTAAGAGTCCTGCAAACCCCACAGTAAAGAAATGCTTACAACACCGACCAAGGCACTAAGAGAAACCCTGGCAAGGAAGAGGCAGAGGAGGGAAGCCAGGGCTCCCGGAGGAGCCTGTGTTGCTGACCACCAGCCACGTAACCTGGGGAGGGGCTGGGCATCTCCAAATGAGGAGGGATCTACTAGGTCCTGGGCCTGGGCCCAGAGCATCCCAGGCACAGGGAATCTGACAGGCAGGGACTGCATGGTGCTTGGAGGGAGAAAGGACATCGTGGTGAAGGGCCAGACAGCAGGAAACAGAGCACCAGGGCTGCCTCAGGGAGCTGCAGCGAGACCTCAGGGTCTGGTCTGACACACGAGGGAAATCAAATTTCTTTTTTCTTCTCTCATCAATGCTAAATTGCTCAGGCTGGGTTTGAACTTGTGATCCTCCTGCCTTAGCCTCCCCAAGTGCTGGGATTATAGGTGTGCACCTCCACGCCTGGCTCAGATGTCAAGTGTAAAACACTGTTTGGATTGCAGTAGGGAGAAGGAGACCTGGGCAAGGGCTGAGAACCATTAATTAGGGAGGTCGCCACTTTACCTGCAGCTCCCAGTGCATCTTGTGTTCACCCCTCCCCCCACCGTCAGGTGCTAGTCATAGTTGTATTGTCGAAGGAGTGCTGGGACTTAAAGTGAAATCAACCCTCACCACTGGTGACTTGAATCTGAGCCACTCTGACACTGGAGCAGGGCTCTAGGGCACCTAATGCCTCAGTTTTCTTGCACAGTGGATGGCGGCCCTGAGGGAGCTGCTAATCTGTACTGAGCTCTATCTTCAGATAGACAGGAATGGGCTGTCTCCAAGCTGGGCTTGGTCCACATATCACAGAGCCCAGCACACAGCAGGGGTGAAGAGTGAGCCCTAAACTAGGGTGGTAGTTGTATAGTCGGGGCTTCCTTGTACCTGGAGCCACCAGAGGGTCCCCATCTTGCTGGACCTGGGCGGAAAATGACAAGTGCACCTGGCCAGGTCTTGGGGTGTGGAACAGGCACAGGATGACAGGAGCCCTGGACACCTGCGACTCAGGCTTGCACCTGACAGCCTGTTCATCTTGACAGCAGGCCTGAGGGGATACCAGCTCCCTTCAGGGGCCAGCCAGTGGGACAGCAGGGCCTGTGGTTAAATATCTCCTAAAGGAGCCACACTGAAGCTGCGCTGTTAATGCTGTCACTTCCCGTCTTGGGAACTTACCAGTGTGCAGACAGAGCCGTGTGCGTTACACACACCCTCTCTCCGCCCCTCCCTGTCCTTGCTGCTGTTACTGCTCTTTTGGTAAACATACAGAGCTTTGGGTCAGAGGTCGGATGACCTTCCAGGTGGCACACAGCGGGCGCAATCTGATGCCAGGTGCTAGACCCAGCTCTGGTGCCAGGCTGCCTGACTTCGCTCCACCCTGTGGGGCTGAACTGGGGACCCGACTGTGAGGGTGGGCTGCCCTTGCCCTGTGGCCATCTACACATCTATCCCTACTCATGACAGGGTGTCCCCAAGAACTCTGGAAGCTTACAGTCCCTGCCTGGGGAACTTGCAGGCTGGGTAGACACAGTGGGAGGATTGCTGGTTGCTTTCTGTGGTTAGGGAACACGCTTGAATTCCCCCTGCACTGTTTCCTGAGCTCTTGGACAAGTTGGGCATCTACCTAAGCCCATTCTCCCACCTGCATTATTTCTAGAGTAATTTTAATATCTAAGACAGTGTAAATGGAATGGAAGTAGTTGGGTGAGGGGGTGTAAAGTCATGACCCAGCACTGTGGGAGGCTGAGGCAGGAGGATTGTAAGTTGGAGCTCAGCCTAGGTAACTTGTCTCAAAAAGGGTGGGCATAGGCTACAGCTCAGTGGCAAGACCCAGGCTCCATCCCTACCCCTGGACCACTGAACAACAAATGGGGGAGGGGAGAAAAGAGGGGCTATTTATATTGTAACATTTAGGGAATGCAAACAAGGAAAATGGTTTGCACCTCTTCAATATAGACAACATTTGTCCCCAAATATTTTTGGTCTGAGCTTGGTGAAAACCACAATCCAGAAGCTACAGGTACAGAGAGCAGGTAGGGAGGCAGGGGGACCTGGCCACTAAAATCAGCTTAGTGGGGACCCCTCCCACACTCTATCAGGCTTTCCTACTGTTCCTTCCTGGGAAACCCAGCACCCAATTAGATGGCTCTGACTGGTTGGGGGCAGCAGCCACTCTTTTTGGGGCCCCCTATGTTCCCTCTCTCCAAATCATTCTCTCAAGATTCCTTCCTGCCTCAGGCTCCTCTTCTTCCTCCTCTGTTAACTCAGGCTTTGCTGGCCAGACCTGCTCAGAACTCACCCCTTGGGATTTTCCCAGACTTTGGGTGTTTCCCATCATTCTGCAGGGTCACATACATGCGCAGTAGTGGAGGTGGGGGTGGGGGTGGAGGGGCTGCCTGGGTTTTCACACTTAGAAATGGCATCCTGAGTTCCCAGTGCACTTGGGGTGGTCACTGCCCAAAGTCTAGGAGGGAGGGACCAGCAATATCATCGCCCACTGAGGAATACAGTGAGTGAAGCTCAGAACCCCCACCTTGTCCCCTGGAAACCTCCCACTCCTCTCCCAGCCCAGTACCATCTCGGGGCTCAGGGTCCGTGCCACGGAAGCGGCCTGCGGCTCTGGCATCCACAACCTGGAAGCAGTGGGACTCCAGGTTGTCCTTGATATCCTCATAGGTCTTGATGAAGGTGGGGTCCAGCCGAGCGCTGAACTCAGTGGGCACCGGGCGGCTCTTGCCGGAGCTGAGTGGAAGATTCAGGTGCAACCAGCGGCGGAGGCCACCGTCGAGCAGAGACACAGTGCGGTGGCCAAAGGCGCGGAACATCCACCAGACGCGTGGCGCTGAGTACAGGCCCTGGTCACTGGTGTCATAGACCACCACATGTGTGCTGGCTCCCACGCCCAGGCGGCCTGCGTAATCTGCGAAGTGCTCGGCGCTGGGCATCATGTGGTCATAGGGGGACGTGCGGTCGCTGCAGTAGTCGATGTCGAAGAAAGTGGCACCAGGGATGTGGCGCTCTTCGAACTCACGTCTCACATCCCGACCTAGCTTGGCCAGGTACCAGGACGCGTCCAGCAGCTGCAGGGGCTGCCCAGCTTGTGGGGCCCGCAGCGCCTCTGCCACCCACTGTGCCGACACAAGTGCACGGAAGAGCTGCGTGGGGGCCATGGCGGTGGCAGTGGCACTGGAGCTGCAGGCCTGTGAGACGAGACAGGGAGGATGTTAGGAGGGAAGAGAGGGAGAGACTGGCCCCAGGTTGCAAAGCACCAGCACAACACCCCTGGGCTGCGCTGGCCAGGAGGTGGAGGCTTCCAGACCAAAGTCCGGGAAGGCAGGAGTGAGCCAAGGCATATATTTTGGTCACCCAGGCCACCCCTGCTGGGCCTAGAGGCTACATATATGTATCTACACTGGGTGGCCACCCCTGCCCTGAAAAGGGTCTAGGGCTCCTCACAGACTCCAGCTGGCCCTTTAAGGCAAGCAGGGTCAAAGTCTCAGCCCCTCCCTTAGAGGCAGCCACCAAATCCCTGGGGGAGCTCATTAACTCCTCATCAAGCAGTTCCAAAGGGTGCCGCCCTATAGGAGCTGGAGCTGGAATTTATTGTCTCTTTCATGGGCCATTAAATCCTCACCATAGTTTAGGGCAATACGGGCACAGTAGATTAGCAGACTAGGGAGTACTTACTGGTCTTGTCACTGAGAGAATTGAGGCTCATAAACAAAAGTGTTTCAAATGAGCCTGGTGGTGCCCGCCCGAGCTGTAAGCTAGGTGACCTGGTCCAGAAGTGCAAGGGCTCAGCATCATGTCTTTGACTGGCCCTGGGAATTTGGAGAAGCCGAGTTTGCACATGGCCTCAGCTTTCTCTGGGGCCAGTTTTAGCAGCAGCAACAGCGGCCTAGCCACTGCTTCCCCTCCGCCTTCCAGGACAGAGACTGTGTAATCACTGAGACCGCTTCGGTCCCTGGTGTTGGGTGACGGGTAATACACAAAGCCTGTGCATGTTAGAGAAAAGGGGACCTTCCACTGGGGCTCCCAGCAGGGCCCTGGGCTTCGTATGACTGCCAGGCAGTCTGGCCAGGGAGGTGAAGGATTAGCTAGAGAACTGTGTTGCAGGAGGGCCCCCACAGGCCTGGTCACATGCTAGGACCACAGCCGCGGGGAGTGGGTACTAGGACGCCCTTTCTACCACCCACGTACCTGGCAGCTCTGGGTCTTCCTTGCTTACAAAGCCTGAGTTCGTTCCTTCCCCAGCCCTGGAGTGATCAGGGCTTAACATAATGCCGTCTGCCCACTGCCACAACTTTCACCAATAAAGCCAGTTGGCCCTATGCTGGACCTTACCAGGCTCTAAGGATAAGGACAGGCCTCTGCACAGTTAAACTGTTGAGGAAGTAATCTGAGTTTGTGTGTGTGTATGTGTAGGGTGGGGACAGAACCTCAGGTTGACCTGCAGGGTAAGAAGGCTGTGGGTAAGGGGTGAACTTGCTATCAGCTAGGTGAGGCTGGGAGAGGCTGCAGGCTCCTTCTTAGAGACCCTACTCATGGACCACAGCAATTCCTGTGTCCCCTGTCATTCCTGGGGATCCTTCCCTTTCCCCCCTAAGGATCCATCGAGAGTGGAAATATCCCTGATTTGGGGTAGCTCCCACCCTGCTGTTCGAGCGATGGGAGGCATGTCATGGTCCCTGGGAGGTTTGTTTCTTAGAATGGTATTTCCAACCTCTACCTCTTACAGAGATGTTTAATTAATAAATACAGAGACCACTATAATGCACAACATGTGGCTGGTTTTAATAATTTTAAGAATGGTTTCATAAAATCCTATTATTTCTTACATTTTTCTTAGGTTGCCCTTGGACAGTAGCAAATCAAGAATCTGAGCATTTCAGGGCTGGGCAGGACTTAAAGACTTTGGAGGCCACGCTGCCCCCGCCCTGCTTGGTGGGCAGTTGTCACAAAGGTCTGTGGACTCCAGAGGGGTAGGGAGGCTGCCCCCCAAAGGGGGAGAGAGGAGGAAAAAGACCCTGGTCCCTGGGCGCACAGTGGGCCACACTCCCTATTTGGAGGGGTAATGCTGTCCAAGACATAAGGGACAGCCCCAGCCCATTTCAGAGCGGCACAAAACTGCACCAAGCGTGATCCCACCCTGCATCCAGATGGCCTGTGCCGACCAGGTGGCCTCAGGCACTCAAGGGTGTCTGTCCCCCCTCCTGACCCTCCTTCCTCCTTTCCTCTCCCAAGGCTGGGCTCCCAGCTTAAAGGATTCTCTGGATGCTTATTAATGTTCAGGTTTTGCAACATGTAACAAGTAATTGTAACACACAAGTATTTCTGGACAAAACCAAAATTTAAAAAGTCAGGTTCCCTGGGGAAAAGCACTGGCCTAGGGCACTGGCCACAGCAATGGTGTCCCATAGGTTTACAAGCACCAGTGTGCAATTTTGGGGATTTTGTTAATTGGTTGAGGAATAGTTATGGCTCATAATTCAAGTGCTAGGCCTGGGGAGATAGCTCGGCCGTCTAAGCGCCTGCCTGACAAGAACAAGGACGTGGGTTTGATCCCCAGTACTACATGCTGTGCAGGCCCCCAAACCAGGCATGGTGGTGCAGGCCTGTAATCCCAGTGCTGGGGAAGCTGAAAACAGGAGGAGCACTGTGAGTCCAAAGCTGCGTAGTTAGACCCTGTACTAAATAAATAGAAAATTCAACTCCTGGGCATGGTGTTGCACACCTGTAATCCAGGGCACCCTGGAGGCCGAGGCAGGAGGATAGCCACAAGTTCAAGGCCAATCTGAGCTACATAGCAAGGTCCTGTCTCAACAAAACAAACAAAACCCCCAACCCCCACACTTATAATTGAACAGGTCAAGCTAACAACAAAAGCGATATTTTAAAGCGGGAGCCTTTCCAGGTGAGCCTGTAAACACAGGATCCATACCGGCCACGTGGGCTTCAGAGCCTTGAGTCCCACGGTGTGCGCGGGCGCCTCACTGTCTGGTGCTCCTGAAAAGTTTGGGCCTAACCAGCAGGACTTTTACAAGTTTCATTGACACCCTCGGCGTGCTCGGCGAGGCTACCCCAAGCAAGCGGCCAACATTATTCTCATTTCACCTCCGCAAGTTCTCCACGGGTTTCTACTCCTGGGAGCCTCCGGGTAGCGGGTCTGCCTCCCTCGCCTCTCCAAATGGCCTAGAAGAGGTCCTCCTCCTCCCGCCTCCCTACCCTCTACCGCGATGCCAGGTCACTCCACCCCGCCCCACCCCGCCCCACCCACTGATCGCCCCTCACCCCACCCTGACCAGCCACGGTCCCCCGTGGGCGCAGTTAGGGGCACCCTGCATGCCCTTCTCCCTTAGCCCGCGACCCCTTCTCCGCTCGGCCCCGTGCTGCGCCCAGATAGCGGACCCCCCTCCGTGCTAGGCCCAGCGAGGTTGCGGGCAGTAGTTAGCCCGCTCTCTGGCTCCCGGCTCCCCAGCCTCGGCATGGGGCCCCCTCCCCGCGCCCGCAGCTGTTTCTCCTGCTGCCACCAACCTGTCCTAGGCCGAAGGGAGGAGACTCGGGCACAACCCCCTCCTATCAGTGACTGCCCGCGCCTTCCACTGGCCTGACCCGGGGGGCGCCCGCGCCGCGCAGCCCAACCTTGTTTTGCCCCCGCGCTGCCCGGAGTCCCCGGATCCCTCCCGGGTTCTGAGCCGTCCCCAGGAGGGCAGGAGCGGCCGGGACGCCTCACAGCGATGAGGAGAGCAGCTCGGAGTCGCGGCGGATGGCGCGCGGTTCCCCCGCCGCTGGCGGGCGATGGTGTAGGCCGCTGGGACAGCTGCGGCTCTGCCTCCGGGAGCCTCAGCATCTCGCGCTTGCAGGGCGAGTGCCAGTGCCGCGCCCGGGCGAGCGAGTGCAGCGGGCCAACCAAGCAGGGGCCGCCGGCCGGCCGGGCCCCCTGTGGCCTCGGGTAGGGTCCTCGGGGCGAGAGCGGGGCAGTGGGCAGAGAGCCGGGCCCTGAGCGCAGGCGAGTCCCAGCTGCCCAGAGAGGGAACAAAAGGACCAGTGGGGGCTCAGGGACTCCAGCACAGCCCACCCTTTCCCCTCCCAGGAAGAAACATTCAAAAAGCAAGGCCTTTCCTCCCCCATCTTGTGCATTTGACCACCGCTTGTCTCTGGCAAGATCCGAGAGCGGGTATTGTAGCTTCTAGGTGTCTGGAGCCTTTCGCGCCACCTGTCTGAGCCGCGAGCTCAAAAACTTTTGCCCCACCCGCTTCGCGCGGGGGCGGGGCGGGCCGAGGACGGAGAGGCGGGCGGGGGAAGGAGGGGCGGGCCGGGAACCGACTGCTTGTGTCCCGAACCCAGTAGTACAAGGGACTGGAGATGCGGCTCAGGGGTCGAGCGCTTGCTCAGCAAGGGCAGCACCCTCGCTCCGAT